TTTACCATTCTTTTTGTGTTGATGTGGCACCATTTGTCAAAAATTAAATATTTGTCACATTTTTTAAAAATTATTTGGTGTTACACATATTCATTCATACACTAATCAACATCTGGATATTTTTAGTTTTATTTCTGCACTTTGTACCCATTCTCTTATTTCTTATTATGGTTGTTTGTTGTGTTTATTTTTTCGATAGTAGGTCTGACATTTACCAGGAATGAAATACTCCAGGAAATACCTTCTGTGATTGATATTGTAAAAATAACACAAAACATATTAAAAATAAAATACGCTTTGGTTCAGAAATCACCTATGTTTTTGCAAGGCATTGTTCTAAAACACTTTCATAACTTCGACATTCCGAGAAAGTAGAAGTTCTTTGTTCATACATCTATCAACTTGAGGCATCTCACTCAATCGGAGCGAGTCATTGCTTTTGTACTATAATGGATGGGGTGAATCTTCTTTTTGTTCTGAAATTCTTATTCAATTGATGCTTTTTCTGTTTCTTATTCCTGTTTTTTTTTCCACCTTAGATGGAACCACTAGACAAATGCCCTAAGCTTCGATTAAATATAAAAGATCCATATACCATGAACCGAGGTTACTATGGGACTAGAGGGTGACCATCTAATAGAATTTATTTTGAATATGAAATAACCTGTTGGGCAAAAATATTTTAGTATTTAGACAACTTTCCTTGAGACTTGACACAATGTTCCAATATAAATTGTAGAATATATTCGAACAAAACATGACTATAATAAGGCCTATTTGGACAGTGCTGTGCTTTGAGCTCCACTAAACCATCGATCTCCTCTCTCACCCGATCCTTACAATCTTCGTTAAATCCTCAATGTCCCTTACTTCATCACAAAGTCCATTCAAAAACCATCCATATCAGTTTGTTACCCATAAAACATCCATGTTACCCATTTGGCCCAATCCAGATACTAAATCTTCCATAAGGAACTTGGGAACCATTCCAACTCTCTTGTTTCTAACCTTGCTTTCTCTATGATCCCTGATAACACTCCGAGGCGTGTGAAAAGAAGATAGCCACGTGATCTTCTAATGTAAATATTGTTAGAGTGCCACCAATGGTTAGTTTCTCTGCAAGCTTTTCACCATAATATCGTATTTATATCGTAATATGTTTAAAGTGTGCGCTATGTTATTATTTAAATTTTAATAGAGTTGTGAATATCACAATTAAAAAAAATTGATGTTTTAAGTCAAAATCTAATTCATTTCAAATATTTTAACGCACCTTTTTCTAATGATAGAAACATGTATGAAGATGTAGCCATGCTTCACTTTTGTCGGAGAAGCACCTGCATCAGTGCCGTGTCATCTCGTACACCCTGAACACCGTATCAACTCTCAGCCATCGGACCCATGAAGTAACCCAATGTTGCAAAATAGCTACAACCGCCTGGGACAGTCCTGGAATCGTAAACACTGCGGCTTAGCGGTTTCACGGATGGAACTTGGGAATGCTGACGTCCAACATTCCGAAAATGGCGGTCCTTCCGATATCGTTGCGTCAGCTCAAGGTGCTCGGCTTTCTACTGGCTACAACCCGTTGCGGATGTCATCGGAACATTAGGGCAGTGGACGGCCTTCAAGGCGAATGAAGCCACCCTTTGTAACATGTCTATTAGTCAGAGGATAGGGAAAATGTTCTTCAAACTAATTCTTGGAATCTGAATTCTTAATAATTCATTCCAACTTATGAACTCACTTCAATTGTGCAAAACAGAGTTAGAAACTATTTTTGCGAAAATATCCTAGACCAAATGCTTTTTGGGTGAAAGGGTTACAAAAAAGAAATGTAACCAACTGGATTTGGTGGAACAAAACGATTTTAAATTTGATATGAAGTATATGAGGCATGCAACCACAATCTCGAGGCAACCATTCCTCTTAGTCATTAGAAAGTTTGTTGTAATGATTTAGAAAAAATAAGATCTTGACCATAAAGAAAAAAAAATAGCAACAATCACGAAACAAATGGCTTATCCTTATGACGATTGTATTCAAGGTGAATCGGATCAAGATCAATCAGTGAAATGGAATACGTAAAATGGTGAAAGTAATAATATTTTTAAATGTGAAGCTTTTTTTTTTTTTTTGAAACAGATAAAAATTATTTTAATATTAAAACTGAATTATTGCTTTTAAAAGGATGAATTATTTGTTGCAATGTTACATGCCCACTAAATTAATAAATATTAACAATTTTTGTCTTTATTTAACAATGTATATAAATTTACAAAAATAATTCATCAAATTTTACTAAAATTTTTAATTGTCCTTATCCACTTGAAAATGAATCTAGTGGATTTGTTGTAGACATGATATGTGATAAACTTTCATTGAATATGAAATAATTTTGGACTCAGCCATAAATAAGCATCTGTTCAGGTTATGTTGATAATTTTATGTTGATCGAAAACAAAAATAAATAAATAAAACATGTATTTTATTTGAATAAAATCATTCTCTCTTTAAATAAAATAAATAAAATATCACGGTACGGAGCATTGTAAAAAAAAAAAATCCTTAATTTGATGTCAACATTTAAGTTAAATAGACTTTATATTTTTATATATTAATATTTTGTTATTTCCTTTTATTTACAAATATACAATTTAAATAGAAAAAGTAATTCAAGTATTTGCTTTTATAAGTTCCAATTTAAGTAAAACAAAGAATATTAAACTTGGAAAAAAAAATAGAAGGAAAAAACCCTTACAAGAATAGATTTTTGAAACATGACTAAATAGCTCTATATTTGTTAAAATGTATGATACAATTAGAAGATGATATCATGTTGTGGAATTATACAGAGAAGCCTGACTATGATGGTATGTGCTATAATAAACCTATTCGTCCAATTATGAAATGAGAGCAGGGGGAAAGCTGATAAATATACAAAGACTCCCAGCTATGGCGGAGGTGTGGTCTTACGCAAGGTTTCTTCCCTTCGCCATATTAATGAGTCGGCATCGAATTATCTGAATCCTCTTGGCTTTGCCATTGTCTTTGAAATTTTTTTAGAATAAGTTATACAAGCGGTTAGAATAATATGTCTGTAAAAAAAAAAAAAGTTTCACTACCTCAAATCATGGAGTGCAGTGGTTGGCAAGATCATACTATATCTTCATCGCCAGGTTTATTCCCAGGGTCAGACTGTATTCTAGAAATCCTCCGGAGTGTCAATTTAAATTTTCTACCACAACCGGATTTGAACTCTGGTCCGAATGTTATGAGTCCTGCTCAATAAATAATTACACCATACTAATTATTGAATTTAATGTTACTTAAATGATAGGTAGTTTATTGTTGTATAAAATACCACGAAAAGCGACTCCACCCTTGTAAAACTCATTTCATTTTCTTCTATTGTATAACATCAGACGAAGTTGTAATGTGTAATGAAATAAAATTTTAGGCAGACTTGATGATGGACAGATTCCGAAACCTTGTCTGATATAATAAAAAATAAGAAAATATGAGATATTTTAAAAGCGTGGAATTGTTTTCCCGATATTTTATACTACAACAATATATTTTTTTTTACATATACATAAAATATTTGTATATAAATTGAAAAATAAATTGCAATTTTTAAATAAAAATCACTTGGTAGTTTGTTATGAGGTATGGTATACGTCATGCGCCTGCTTGTCCAGTAACATTGAAGAAGCTAATATTTTGTTCAGATTCTGTGATCACCGATATTCATCGATTATTAATTTTTTGTATTCCTTTAACTGAGTCTTGTGCCTTTAAGGATAAGTTGGTAAATAATATTGGTGGAATATAGAAAAACAACACGAGGATGGATTTTTTTGTTTAATTAATTTAATTTTATTAATTTATTTATTTTTTAAATTTTACTTGTTTTTTGTAAATTTTAATGTTTTTCACCTTCAAGTTTACTGTCAAATAATATATTGTGTAATATACAATAAATATGGTTTAATGGCTAAAATGATTCGTAAGTGGTTGAAAAGCTCCTATTGTCAGAAATGAATATTTTTTTTTTTAAATTGTGCATAAATGTAGGGGAACGTATCATGAAACAGTATAAGAAATTTAGCTGTAAACTCTTTTTTTTTGCTTCTAAGGACCACTTAAACATCTTTTCATGTAGGCAGTTTGTTTCCTTTTTTTCAAAGTAATTACCATTGTTAAGAAAAAAATAAACAAAAAGGCCCCCCCTCCATACCCTCAAAAAATTAATCCTGGATCCGCTACTGCTAATGGCTATAGTGTGACGAAATTTTCAGCTTAATAATAATCCAATTTTTATTTTACTAAATAGTAAAATACTACTAAATTTATATTATATTAAACTCTACCGTAGATAATTAGACTTAATTTAGAAAATCCAAAGCATATATACATTAAAAATTCTTAGTCCAACGTTAGGTAAAAGTATCAGTTACATATAACAAGCCATCAGAGTAACCAACAACTGCATGTATTCGATTTATTATTTTTTGTCAGATGCAGGATTTAAAAAAAAAAAATTTGTATTTCAATTTTAAATTTTATTTTGTTAAAAAAGTGATCATATATGAAGGAGGTTGCCCTGGCAAAATTGCATTATTTGTTCTTAAAAGGGAAAGTGAGAGAAACAAAGATCGAAAAGAGACGTTGACATACAGGCCATACAGTTTATAAGACAAATGGTCTGAGTGATAAATATTACATGAGCCATTAATACTCGAGATATTACACAAAAGGACTAGATGCTTAAACACAAATAATGGGTTATTAGCAAAATGACTTCGCCAAACAGTCTTTGAAAACTCTTCTGTGCCCAATGAGAAGGTATTGTGTAACAGGAACGCGATGGAATTATTAATAACACCGGACCTTGATAGAAAATGTGGAAATTAAAATATTTATTTTTATGAATGAATTACATTATGTAACATAATTAATGATAGAATTATTATGATATTATTCTAATTTGTTTGCAGGCACAACGACGATGGATCATACACCTATGGGTACGAGGGAGCTGATGGTAGCTTCAAGATCGAGACTAAGCACGTCTCAGGAGAAGTTATGGGCAAATATGGTTATGTTGATGATACCGGAAAAGTCCGCGTCGTTGAATACGGAGCCAACAGGTAAGCCATTATATTTAATTATTGATTTTTATTTTTTTAAATTTTGATTTAAATACCTAGTAAAAGAAAATGTATTATCCATTTAATCATTCTTGGGATATCATGATCCTTGTTCTAAAACCACCTGAATCTTGAGGATTGACACATTTATTATATGTTGCTAGTTGTAATACTACGAACAGATAATAATACAGTAGACAGATATTAAATACCTACTTAAACTATGCCTCAGATTTACGGTTCTGTATACATTTTAGATACACTTAAAAAAATTAAAATATTTTCTATCAGAAATTTTAAGACTAATTACGCTCTCTGATACCTAGATAACAAAACCTTACCTGAAGTATTTCAACATGAAACATCGACCAACCAACACAAACGTAGGGTAAATGAACCAGTAGCTGACATGCTTAAGGAAATGTCTTGGAACTTTTAAGTTTATTGGAACAGTAGGTGACACTGTTTGATTTGGAATGTTCCTATAGCTGACAGAGATGAGAACAAGGATGTAATTAATCTAAATTTCATATTCTTCATTTTAAGATTAATAAAAATTATCTTCAAATTATTATAAAACTAACTTCTTGCAGTTTCCAACTTCAATTTATCAATAAATGCTGATCACTATCAAGAACCGGTTTTTAGCAATAGGAAAACATATTTATGCTTTATATTTAATCCAAATCATTAACAATTTTTTTTTCTTTTAACGAGACAGTAATGAATGGTCCCATTTTTAAGACCCGTTATATTGAGTATATCTTTTGCAATTTATGAGAGTACAAGTCTGTGAGCTACTGGCAAAAGTCCTCGTAAGGCTCCAGTAGCTGACAACCATTAAATATCCATCTTCTTCATCAAGATAAGTTAAAAATAGATAAATATAATTTAAAAATACTAAAAAAAAAATGAAACAAAAATTTTGGGATAAATCAGAGTAGTGGAATAGAAAAAGGCAAACCTAAAATATGGTGCTCTTACAGACAGATGGTTGTTCCTGAGACACTAAGTGAACAGATAGGAACCTTCCTAATTTGCCACTCATTATATAGGTGCGATTTCCGGAAAGACCAAAGCAGACAAATATAGAAGGAGACATTATAGAAACTAAAAATATATGAAATAGATGTCTTGGAGGTCCTGAAATTTTATTATTCCCGTTTTTCGAGGAGGATGTCAGGTATTGGCACACTTTTCAGCTACTGGTGATTTTACCCTACTCTTTATCCCGACTTTTTTAATAAACTTTTTTTATTTTAATAAATAATTTTATAAACTTCAGGGACATAATAACAGACTGATAAAAGGCGACTTAAAAGGAGCTAGATGAGAGAACTCTATTCGTGATCATCTTTTTTAATCGTGGTGGTGTATTCACTGGAGGGAGGAAAAGGAGGAAATTTCCCATCTGAAAATATTCTAATAAAATGAGAAAGAAAAACGGCTATTTAAAATATGCCTGCTAGTGCCAATATATCATCATTCATTAGATACGTGAAACTTGATTCACTTTATCGATATCACATTAAGATTCAAACTATCGATCGATGTTGATGTATTAAAGAAATTACTTAATTACTATGTCTATGATAATCGATTTTAAAAATTCGAAATATAAAACAGTTAGATATCAGATTTACGACAGTTTCTCTCGTAGATGAAGTAACGTGATTATCTCCCCCTCCCCTTCCAAAACAAAAGCCATAACAATAGAAGTTGCTTCTGAATCTGCCCCTACCAATAATTTTCTAGGGAAATGATTCAGTACCTGTGCAAAGTTATTTCAGTCATAATCATTTTTTTTTTTGTTGTTTCACTTTTTTTTTTGTTCGCCTCCCCAATATAGCCTCTTGTTTTTATGAGTATATTGAGATTAAAGGTTTCAATCAGAAATGGTTTCCTGAATCATCGAGTTACAGTTGATTTTATAAATAGGAAATAATTGTTTTTATTTAATTAATATCACCTTTCTAAAAAAAAGGGTAACAAAATACAATAGATAATATAATAATTTATCTGATAGCCTTCAGAAATAGTAAATGAGAGAACGGTTTCTATACAAGAGCACGATCAACTCTGGAACAGCCATTCACTTTCTTTAACAAGATCGGGATTGATAATAAAAATTCTATAATTAATCCAACAAGCAATTCCTGTATAACATTTTGGATACATTTTTGTTCATGTGGTGATTCTAATATGGGATAATTCTATATATTTGCATTCTAGTGATCAATGAGAGGTAATTATAATAATAAATAAATAGAAATGAAAAGAAATTAATCTTAAAAAATACTATTATTGTCAAATTTAAATTATGTGCATATTAACAATTGAATGTAATTTAATTTTTCTTCTCATTTTCATTACCATAAGCCTTATTTAAAAATATTAGATTTAAAACATAGTTATTTTTGTTAACATTTCTATTTAATTATGTTGTTAGTAATTAAATGAAATTTCCTTATCATAAATTAAAAGTGTACTTGTTAACTCTCTCGTTCACCCTTTTGTTCTCTCTCTCTCTCTCTCTCTCTCTCTCTCTATATATATATATATATATATATATATATATATATATATATATATATATATATGTATATATATATATATATATATTTTTTTTTTTTTATTTCATGTTGACTAATCTTTAAAACTGGTCTAGCAATAGAATAAAACTTAAACCTATCAAAGAACTTTCATAGATTTAACCACAGATCAACTCTCGTGAAACTGCAAGTAAAATATCTGACATTTAAGCATTACAGCTACCTAGGAAATGATTTATAAAATCAATAATTGATCCTTTTGTGCAGCATGAACACCTCTATACCTTCAAATCCCAAAAGATAAAATAAGCCGATAGATGGTCCTCTTAGCATTGTTAAAACTGATTAGTGCAAACTCCATTTCTGGGAAAAAATATATTCATTTTAATAAACTATTTAGTATATTAAACAAACCGTAGGGTTCTAATTAAATATATAATATGAACACAACATTTAAAAAATATTTCCCTTGATTATAATTGTTTTCATAATGATGTAAAGATGGTTGACCGTTGATATAATATGAGAAGGAGTTAATTGGGGGGTGCGGTAAAATAAATATTAAATTAAATAATTTATGATTTATATGCCTCAGATTTAGACTTTAATTTAGTATTTATTTGACCGCACCCCCCAATTAACTCCTTCTCATATTATTGTTATCATTTAAAACAATACAATTTTTATTTTTTTGACAATCTGGCACTATATTATTTTTATTAATATGTATTAAGTTGGTGTACAATATATTAAAAGGTAAATAAAAAACGAATTTTGACAATTACCAAACTTTCAGGGGTCTGTGCAGTTCGGTTTTCGCATTAAAACCTTGCATGATCTTCGAACGGAAAAACCATATGATACATGCTTCTTAGACTTTAATGACAGGAAAAGCTCTAGTTGGAATAGGCTAAATATTAACTTATTTTATTTAATTTCTATGTAAAAAAAAATTAGCTTTAGTAATTCTGTTTCGTTTCATGATTATAACGATGTTTTTATTTTAATATCAATATTTTTTTTAGGTTTTTAAAATTATATTTATTAAGGTCCACCTTTAAAATTAATAAAACAAAATAATGATAGGCTGAATATTAGTTATCCATAGAATATGTTGAGTACCAGCAAGCAAAAAGTTCCTTAACAGACGGGAAATCAGGAAATATTTCCTTAAAGTTACATACCGAGATTGACATAACGCAAGGCGGTTTAATTAAAAATGTACAGAGAGTTCTTATTCTTACACTCCATTTCCGCGAACGGCTTTGTGAACCTTAAACACATCTTACTGCTTTCTCCGCTATCTCTTATCTTATCAATTGAGTTTCATGAACAGATATGAACAGAGTTCTCACAATTATAACCTTCGTTACATTAGAAAGTTGTTAATAATAATAAATAAATAAAAATATCTAAGACAAATTTTAATAGAATTTTTCCTTTTTCGTCAGTAAATTTGAAATATTATAAGACTAATGAAATTCAAATTAAACATATTATACTATCTTGAGGTTATATAGTTTGGAACCATATTAAAGTAATGAATCTTAACATGTCCAACGTTGTATATTCGTTTATTTAACATGGTGCCGACAATGTATGGTCTCATCAATTCTGTAAAAGTCGATGGCATCACACACGGATCATGTGTCTTGCCTTATCATTATCCTCTAAACATATAACAAAATGTACGGTACTCGATGAGTTGCATCTTCTTTGTATAAAAGAACTATACATCCTGAAGAGATCATTTATAGTTTTAAATTCATTTCACTTAACTATTGAATTTCTCTCGTATCCAAACCTTACAATCCAAAATCCTTAGTAAAATACACAATGCTCGTTACTTTGTTACATATAAAATTATCCATAACGACCTTTTTTTTTTTTTGTCCTTCCCTTCCTCGCCGTTAAGGCTATACGGGATTTTCCCGGGCCAGGGGGTGTGGGCGGGGATTTAAAAGACTCCCCCGGCACCGGGACGCGAACTCGTGACTATTTTTATATCTTTCATTCATATGTCAGGTTGCCAGGCAACGGCGGTGCAGTGCACACGCTTTAGCCTATTCGGCCACCCCGCCCACCACCATAACGACCTTAACGTTACTTATGTTTTCGATTTATCCCAATCCAGGTTCCATAATAAACTTCACAACCAACCAAACTCGTTTCTAACTTCGCTTCCCCTACCATTCCTGATAACCCTCCGAGACGTTTGAAAAGAAGATGTCCCTGTGATATCCTGATTTAGAAATATCATTAAATTTTTTCCAGCTGATAGTTTCTCAACAAGTGTTTTCACGTCATCTCATATATTCGTTCACGTTTAAAATATTACGGATAAATAAATTGTTTTGTTTTTTGTCGTTACATAAAGAAGTTCGTTTGATTCTTTACCAACTTTCGGACTAAAGTCTCTCACTAAAATAATTTTCAAGAAAAATAAGCATGTTAAAAAAAAGCTTTATTGCTACATTAATTAGTATTTTCTTTTTAGCATGCCTGTAAGGACCACTTATATATAATTTTATATAGATACTTTGGTTTTATTCCAGAGTAATTATCATTAAAGAAAAGAAAAAAAACCCTGAATCCATTTCTTCTTATGGCACTACGTTCTCTGGCAGTTTTGACTCTCGGTTTTTCGTATACTTTATTATTCGACTTTGCAGAAAATAACATTGTCAAAGCAAATAGGTTTGATATTGGAACTAGGCGAATTCATAAGGCAAGTTCCTAAGCTCATTAATGGGCATCGAAAATCCATCAGGCGGTTCCTGGATGGATCCATAAATAGAACTGTGCACTTTCCTTTGAATCACCGATGACCACAATGTAGTTCTAATTCTACATTAGAACTCGTTTTAATTCTAAACTTACTTTACATATTTATATTCAGTTTACATTTTATCCATATTTATTACTATTCTAAAATGCAACAATTCATTAGGTAAATATTTCCAAATATAGTTTCATATTTATGTGTTTTGTAAACCTGTGCTGAAATATATCGTTCCTACCCTCAGAGCATGAACCATCCGTTGTATTGTACTTGCTGTTTTCTTTTTGATAGGTACGGCTTCATGCCAGCTGGAGAAGGCATCACCGTAGCCCCGCCAACTCTCGTCGATGACACGACCAAGAAGGGCGACAGGAACAACCAAGATTTCTACGACGACGGTTCCTACTACGCAGAACAGCCCCAGGCACCACCACCACCCCAAAGGGCCGCCCCCAGGCTGCCTCCAAGGCCTAGGCCATTCCCAATGTAATTAAATTAATAAATCAATAATTAATTGTTCATGTGATGAACATCAACGAAAGTATTAATCAATGATCAACCCCACAGGCCAAACCCAGAACCCCAACCTCAACCCATACCTCAGTACGACGAGTACGTGCCACCTCCTCAAGCACCAAGGAGATCATCTGCCTCAGGATCTCCCGTTCCTCCTAGACCAGTAGTCGCAGGTGCAGCACCTGTCTTCAACCCTGCCCCGGTCTATGAAGAAGTTTCAGCACACAGATCTCATCCAAGGCATCATCAGCCCAGGTATAATATGGATATATATCTTTTTGTTTCCGAGAACGAAATTATTTGTCATTACTCTTCAGTCTATTTTACGAAGAAACATTACAAAGCGAACAATTTTTTCTATATTTGTAACTATTCGTTTAAAATCTAAGCGCTTTCATATTTATAAATTAAAAATAAACTTCAATAACCCTATAATGAACCTTAATATTGTAGAAATCGAATAAGCTTGTGATTATTATGAATGAGTTGATTGTAAAAAGGTGTAAGGATAACTCATCACTAAAAGTAATTTAAAACATTTTGAAATATGGTTCATAACCGTTTCTTCTGTGATAGTGGCTTTAGAAGTACTCACTTATAAAAAAGAAAGCTTACCAGTATTTGAAAATCTTTGAAATATAGAAGAGGTTTAACTTTAACCATATTTAAAACTTAGGCTGGTATGCATACCAACTCGTTCCTCTAACAACAATTGGAGGTGATAAAAGGAATAATTTTATGACACTCACTGAAAAAGGAACACTTTCAGCCAATATTATTGCAGAGATGCTTCTGTAAAATAATACCGTTAACTCCTCGAAACTTTAACTCCCAACGTTTAAGCAGAGAAGAAACATCAAATTGGCTTAAAGGAGTATTTTTTCACTGAGTTTCTTAAAAATATATATTTTTTTTTGTGGACCATTTAAGTGGAATAAGGAGAGTGACTATGCATAACATTGTGTCACCCTTTCCTTCTAGGGTCCTCAATGCAAATCAGTTTGTTCCTTTACACTACGAAGTAGTCATGTCGCTTTCATAATAAGTATGTTTCTAACGAATGCTTGCCACAGGTATGAATCCCACCACTCATCACCACACAGAGCAGCTCCACATCACAGGGCCTCCCCACCACCACAGAGGTTCTCCTCCCCACCGCCCCAGAGGTCCGCACCATCTCCATCACCACAACCACTACCACAACCACTACCACAGGCACAGCCACTACCACAGGCACAGCCACAGCCCTCACAGAGGGCTCAGCACGCCAGGTCCTCCGGTGGAATCTTGGACCAGCTTGAACTGGACTACGCCCTACCCCAGGGAGGAGGTCGTCTCACTCACGACATCTCCTTCAGCTCATACTAAGTCCAGCGTTCCGAAATAATTTTTGTAATTTTGTATAATATATTAATTAGTAATGTTAATTTGTTTTAAACTTGCTTTCCGGAGAAAGCAGAACTGTAAATGTAAAAATTTTTTTTACAATTAAATTATATTTAATGGATATATTTTCATTACGATTGTATGAAAATATGAAACAAATATTTGAAAAAAAACTTTTTTTTTTGTTCCTTTGGCTATAATCAACTCACTCACACTTTTTAAGTTTAACAGATATTGATAAAGTTTTAAAAGGACAGGAAGACTTCATGAGAATAAGTTTAATTTATGACTCTATTAGGCCCAAATTTTTGGCCTTCATCGGGGCCAAGAGAAGATAACTTTTTGTCTTGTAAGAACGTTGTTGTTTTTCTATTTTGTCATTGCATATCCCCGATGATGGCCTTAAACGTAGATCGAAACGTGGACACGACATAAATAGTTTTTTGTTTTATGTATTTCACTGACTGTAATCCAAAACCGACTTCTCTTACTGTAAGAAATATTGTAGCATGTAATTATTAGATACATAGTAGAAGTATATATGCATACACACACACACACACATATATATATTTTTTTTTATATTAATTTTTTTTTAAACTTAAGATTTACCCTCTATTCATCACCTATGAATCTGCTTAAGCATTACAAACATACATTCATTATTAAATATAAATTTAAGCCTACCTAATACGTGAAGAGCTGCAATTTATGTTAAAATATTAAGAAATAGTAACTAAAAACCTGTGAACTACAATAAAAATGTAAGGCAGTTCAACTGAAGTTAATTCACATAGCGTGTTCATTAGCATGATAGAAAATATTTAAGGACACAAACAAGAAAGATGCCTGGTAAGTAAACAAGTAATACACTAAAAATACACAAAAAAACACACTAAAAATAAATTACATTTAAACATTATACAACATAATCCAGAATAGGGACTGATACTGAACTTATGGTTGATATTTTTAAGGTTTTGAAAATATCGTAAAACAAAATAAAATTCTCTCCTTGAAATCGTAATACCATTGTTCAGTTCTATAAAATGAAACTGGTAACGGGGAAATAACAAGTATGAAAGCAAGGCCGGGAAGTTGGTGTTAATCCGAAGGACCTTGTTTTAAAAGTTAAATGCCGAGTGATAGGATTTTGTTATAGCGATTAATCAACTACTATTTCACGGAATAACTTTATAATTATAGGCTAACAATTAAAATATATTTTTGACGAAACTGTACATACTAGTTAAATTACTTGTACTTTTAATGGGAACCATTCGAAGAAAAAGAAAACTGTAATAAATATGAGGTTATAGGGAAAGCGAACAACGTCAAAATGTATCACAATCATTAATGTAATGTATGTAATAAGTAAAAAAGTATGATTTCGGGAAGGCCTTAACAATTAACAGATGTTCTGAAAATATTACGCTAACTGAATATGTATTTATCATAGTAACGCTAAACGGTTAAAAAAAAAAAAAAAACGCTCTGGTGAATGGCAGACAAATCTGGTTTATTTATTTTTTAATATCAAATTGTGTATAAAATTTATGTTTCAAATCATTCAGAAAAATAAACACAAACAAATTAAATATATTCATTATTTTTTATGAATTATAATATGTACATAATATATAATAATATAAAATATTTTTAGTCTTTTACTGACCAAAATATAAATATGATAATAAGTATTTTCAGTTTAATAAAAAATTTGTATTGTATGATACTTTTTTTGTCCGAAATGTTTGAGGTTCGTTCTGGTTTAAAACAGGGGGATTCCCTTTCGCCTGTCCTCTTCAATTTGGCATTAGAACATGCCATTAGGGAGGTAATGTGTACCGAAAAAGAATTGGATCTGGGCGGGACAACATCCGTGCTGGGTCTGGGCTATGCGGATGATCCGTTACTGTTAAGTGAAGACGTGGAAACTATAAAACTAAATATGACAACGTTAATGAAAGCCGGTAAAGAACTAGGGCTCGAAATAAGACAAAATATATGGTTAGCTGCAAAAATGGCGATATTACTGGTTATATATATACAGATGGTAATATGTTTAAACAGGTAGAGAAGTTTAAGTATCTAGGGTTTACGATAACTAAAAAAAACGAAATTGAAGAAGAGATTAAGATTAGACAGGAGGCGGGAAATACTTGTTATTTTTCTGTGACAAAACTACTAAGCTCGCTCATCTTGTCCCGGAACTTAAAAATTAGAATCTATAAAACCATTATGTTACCTACAGTTCTTTATGGATGAGAAACGTGGCCGCTTACATTAAGGGATGAGCAGCTTCTTAAGGTTTTTGAAAATAAAGTATTGCGTAGAATATTCGGACCGAAGAAGAATGAGTTGACCGGAGAGTTCACACGATAACACAATGCCGAATTGCGTGACCTTTGTTCAGGTAATATAATTGAGGTGATTTAATGGCGGCGAATCAAATATGCTTGTAAAATTGTTGGGCTTAATAACGAGAGAAAAGGTTAATATTTGCTGTATCTAATGGTATACGTCCGAGGGGTTGACCGAAGCGAAGGTGGGAAGATTGCATTAAAGCCGATCTGAAGGGACTGGGTTTAAACGGCGAACGGTGGAGGGAGGTGTGTAATAAGTGGAGTCGGATTCGAACCTTCGGGTTCGCTAACCCTTTTATTATTATTATTTGTTTATTTGTGATATTTTTTATTTTATATTTCTTTTAAAGATATAAATAAGAATTGAAATAGGTACCATAAACCTCTACTCGGAAAAATTTAATTGGAAAATGATCAAATTAGGACTAAAATGGGTAATTAAATCACTTTTAAATATAACGTATTAAAAATTGATGTTAAAAAAAATATTAAGTATCGAGCCGATTGGTTAACGTCCAATGGATAGGGCGAAACAGGATAGAAAAGTTTTGTCTTTTGTCTTGAATGGTAACCCTTCATGAGTTCACTTTTATGATGGCAAGAGGAGTTTACTTACGAAATGTTTATACCACATGCAAAACCGCATATTATATCTGCGTCAAATATAGTTCGATTTTTAATCACACCATCGCTTAATAAAATGTCAAAAATTTGAAGTAACAAAATTGAAATTAAAAGCAATAAAACAAAACTATAAAAAAAGAAAAACATATTTTTTCATCCAACCTAATTAATTATATATGTAAAGGATTTATATAAATAAGATGCCTGAGTCGGCCAGAATATAAATTTCCACCCACCCAGGCTGGATTCGAAACAGCACTGCTTGACTCAAGGCTGCTAAGGTGACGCGTCAACACTATCCCTAGGCTGGATGAACTGTCAATTTAAGTGTGTGTTGGAATTTGAAGGTATAATACTCAGCAAATGGAGATTCATAATTACTTCGCTTTTCAAAACTGCATCGCTTCATATTTGCTCAAGTAGCTTTCAGTTCAATTAAATTCTTATAAAGTTTTTTTTTTTTTTTTTTTTTTTTTTTTTTTTTTTTTTTTTTTTTTTAAGTAATCACAGATGAATATTTTAATTTTATTGAGTGTTTACATATTTAAAATGAGATCATTAATAAATCTGTTTTATGTTTTTTGTGGTTACTGTAACCATTTTTTTTTTTTATATTTGTTTATTTAGAAATATCACATTCTGTCACATCAAGGACATTTGTAATAGTGTTCAGAGAACACACTCACACTCTATTTACAATAAATAAAAAAAATAATAATAATACAGAAACTTAATAATAATAAATACAATAAAATAAAATAAAATAAATACAATAAAATGAAGTAAAAATAAATACAATAAAATAAAATAAATGTATATAAACAAAAGAACTAACCTAATCATACACACTCGGGCTTGAGTGGAGGATCTGGCCATTGCCAAAACTCCAATAGATGCTTATTTACAGAAGGTCTCTGGGCCACTGCCGCTTCAACCTTCGAGGAGGATTGTAAGGATGGGTGGTGCTGGATAGAGATTGTGCAAGGGGATTTGGATGATAGGTAAGGTTCTGGTGAAATTTGGAGAATTTTTCTGGAATAAGGTCTAGGACAAATGGGATATTAAGGTCATGGTGTAGGATTTTGTTATTTACATAGAACGGAGCATCAACTATTGTTCGAAGGACTTTAGATTGAAAGGATTGAATACGTTTGATGTTAGAAGCTTTTGCTGTCCCCCACAGTTCAAGTCCGTATGTCCATATAGGTTTCAGTATTGTCTTGTAGATAAGTAATTTGTTTTCAATAGAAAGTTTGGATTTTCTGTTTAGTAGTCTGTATAGCTGGCCGTATCGTCGGTTGAGTTCTTGTCTTTTGAGTCTAGTATGTGGGTTCCACGTTAGTCTTCGGTCTAAATGAAAACCAAGATACCGGACTGTGTCTGAGTAAGGAAGCTGGATGGAATTAAAGTGTACTGGTGGACAGGAACTGCGTCGGAGTGTAAAGGTAATATGTTGGCATTTAGATTCATTAACTTTAATGCGCCAGTTATTACACCAGTGCTCAATCAAGGTGAGGTGGTTTTGGAGATTTAAGGATGCTATGTTGGGATCAGAGTTGGATGATAAGATTGCGGTGTCGTCAGCGAATGTTGCAAGAAAAGTATCGGGATGAACAGGGATGTCAGCAGTAAAGAGGATGTAAAGCACGGGACCCAAGACGCTGCCTTGGGGAACACCGGCTTTAACGGAGTAGATATTGGAAAATTCTGTTCCACAGCGAACTCGGAAGGAGCGGTCAGAGAGGTAGGATCGGAGGACTAGGTACAAGGACTGAGGTAAATGGATTTTAAGCTTGAAGAGCAGTCCGGAGTGCCATACCCGGTCAAATGCCTGTGCAATGTCCAGAAATGCACCCGAACAGTATTCCTTGTTTTCTAGGGCTGAGGAAATATGATCAACAACTCGGAGTCCTTGTTGAACAGTAGAATGTTGGGAGCGAAAACCAAACTGATGGGAAGGAATATTTTGGGATTCTATAATGGGTAGGATTCGTTTCAAAAGGATCTTTTCAAAAATTTTTGAAAGGATTGGGAGTAGGCTGATTGGTCTATAGGATGTTGAGCTATTGAGAGGTTTTCCTGGTTTTGGGAAAAGGATAATAGTGGAGTGTTTCCATAACAGAGGGAAGTGGGTGGTGCGTAGGATACAATTGTAGATATATGTAAGGAATATGACTGCTTTGGATGGAAGTTGTCGAAGGATTTGAGGTGTAAG